CCGGGCGCGGCGGCCGGCCCTGCGGGGGACACGTGACGGAGCCCCTTACCCTGGGCGCGGCGCCCAGTCCCCCGCCACCGTGGCCTCTGCAGATCCTCGCGCCCCGCCGCTCCTAAACTCGCCCCCTGCGTTCCCAGCCCCCCTGCGTTCCGGCTCCAGCTTAGAGGGAGGTGAGGGGGACAGCCAGTGCGGGTGTCAGACCTTGGGCTTCAAAGCCTGAATGTCGGGGGTTCAAATCTCGCATCAGCGGTGCGCCTCTGGGCCAGTTGCCTCAACCAGCCAGTCTTTCAAAAGGTGTATTTGGCCGGGCGCGGTGGCTCACCCTATAATCCCAGCACTTTGGGAGGCCCAGGTGGGGGGATTGCCTGAGCCCGCGGGTTCGAGACCAGCCTGGGCTACTTGGCGAGACCTCGTCTCTTCAATAAACCAAAAAATAAGCCAGGCATGGTGGTGCATGCCCTGTATTTCCAGCTCCTTGGAAGGCTGAGGCGGATGGATCGATCACCTGAGCCGAGCCACTGCACTCCAGCCTGGGCGACAGACCCTGACTCAAAAAAAAAAAAAAAATGCTGTATTCCTTCGACAAAGTTCATTAGTGACCTACACTGTCTGGGTTCCTTGGTAGACAGTAAACAAACAGGAGAGGAGAGACCTACAGCCCTTGCCCCTGAGGAGGAGTTTACAGCCTAGTAAGGAGCCACAGATGTTAAACGCCCTAAAATGTTTAGTATGTAATTACAGTAGTGATCAGTGTTGTGGCTATAGAAGAGTAAACATGGAGGAAACTAAGCCCTCTGGGAGGCCCTGGGAGGCTGAAGAAGCAATATTTACGCCACTAGGCAGGAACTGAAGTGGGTGGAATGGAGAGTGGGTCTGGGAAGAGTGTTTAGGTAGAGGCAAGGGTATGTATGTGGCAGGGACACGGGGGGCAGCTTGGCTGGGGAGGAAGTAAACGAGGCCTGGGTGAGGTTAGCAAGGGAGGGCGTGACCGAGAAGCCGCAGGCAGGGGCAGGTGGTGAACGGGCTTGGGTGCGACCCTCGGAGGGGCTGTAACGGGGATGGCGTTATACGCGCTGTATCGATTTCATGGGCATTCTGTGGAACTTACTACGTGCCAGTGATGCCAGTAGCGCTTGCATCCTCGTGGCAAGTTTGTGCGTTTGAGTCACGGGCTGCAGTCTGGAACTTGGATCGGAGGGGACAGAAGTGGCTGCAGGGGTCCAGAAGGCCCCAGAGAAATGCTTACTTTCTTCCTGGAAGATGAGAGCTGTTGGGCACTTATTCAACCGTGGTCAGGAAAGGTTCTCTCTCTTCCTCTTCACTGCTGACCTCTTATTCATTCAACCTTGATTACGCTTCTGTAAAAGTTCCAGGGGATAGGGGCAGGCTTGGTGGCTCATGCCTGTAATCCTAGCATTTTGGGAGGCCAAAGCAGGAGACTCTCTTAAGCCAAGGAGTTTGAGACCAGCCTGGGCAACATAGCGAGACCTCATCTCTAAATAAATAAATAAATAGATAGATAGATAAATAAATAAATAAATAAGACAGGCATGGTGACACGCACCTATAGTCCCAGGATCGCCTGAGCCCAGGAGATCGAGGTTGTCGTGAGCTAGGATTGCACCACTGCATTCCAGCCTGGGCCACAAAAAAAAAAAAAGATTCCCGGGAAGGGTAAGAGCCCGCACACAGAGATCTGTGGGGTCATTTTTTGCAAGGTGAAGGGGATGTTTCTCTTCCCCATCCCATGACCTCCAGTTCCTCTCCTGTCCTGCACAAAAAGAGCATCAGCACGTCACACTGTAGCTAAGAGGGTTCTGACTGGTTTCTGAAACCCTGAGAAACTGTTGTAAAGAACTAGGAACTCAGCAATGTTCATCTCCGATGGGAGGTGGTGCCTCAGGCTGTCAACAACACTATTTTTTGGTTTGTTTGAATTGGAATCTCACTCTGTCGCCCGACTGGAGTGCAATGGCAGGCTCCCGGTCACCACAGCCTCCACCTGCTGGGCTCCAGCGAGCCTTCCGCCTCAGCCTTCCAAGTAGCCAGAACTACAGGTGTGCTACCTCGCCCGGTTAATTTTTTTGATTTCTTGTAGAGACGAGGGCTCGCCAAGTGCCCCGGCGGGTCTCGAACCTGCGGGCTCAGGCAATTCACACACCTCGGCCTCCCAAAGCTCTGGGATTACAGGCTAAGCCACGACAGCACTATTAAGAGTCGGCCAAGGAAGGGGCTGTGAGGCCCCCGGGCCGGGGCTGGGCTTTCCAGTGGTGACACCCTCTGGCCAGTTCTAAGCAATAGGAGAATCGAACTCTTGGCCTGTCAGTGCAGGAAGAACCCAGGAATGCTTCAGCCATGCGCTCAGACGAGCACATCGCACCGGGAAGGGAACCTGCGGCTTCTGGGTCAGGTGCGACTGAGGCTGGGTGGGGAATACCTGGCGTCTCCAAACACTTTTGCAGGCGCGTGACCCCAGGCTTGCCACACAACGGAGCCATTTCTGTTGTTACAGCTTTATGACTCCACGCCTCGAACGAGAGGGTGGGGTCCCCACAGTTGTGTGGGCTGCGGCGGGAGGCCCCCCCAGGGGTGGGGTCGAGTGAGACCTGCATTATTGCTGGAGGCAGTAATGACCCCCTCCCCCATCAGGGCCCTGTTTAGAGAAGGTAGACTTGGAGATGGACACCAGGTGCGATCCAGGCCGAGCCTGGGCTTTCCCCGGGGCCCAGATGAAGGTGAGTGAGGGCTCTCTCCAGGCACAAAATGTAGGCGAGCACCAACACGTAGTTGTCTAGATAAACAGTATCTCAATACCATAGTTTAAGAAGAAGAGTCGATACAAAAAGTCCACGACCGGCTGGGTGCAATGACTCACACCTGTAACCCCAGCACTTTGGGAGGCTGAGGTAGGAGGATTGCTTGAGCCCAAGAGTTCGAGACCAGCCTGGGCAACATAGAGAGACTTCGTCACTATAAAAAAAATTTTTTTTAATTAGCCAGGAATGGTGGCGTGCACTTGTAATCCCAGCTACTTGGGAGGCTGAGGTAGGAGAATGGCTTGAGCCGGGGAATTCGAGGCTGCAGTGAGCCATGATTGTGCCACTGCCGTCTAGCCTGGGTGACAGAGACCCTGACTTTAAAAAAAGAAAATCTCTGGTGGACAAGATATCAAGATTTAAAATAAAGACAGAGGCCGAGGCGAGTGGCTTGCCTGAGCCCGCGTGTTCGAGACCAGCCCAGGCAACTTGGCGAGACCTTGTCTCTACAATAAATAAAAAACTAACCAGGCACCTGTAGGTCCAGCTCCTTGGAAGGCTGAGGCAGGAGAATCGCCTGAGCCCAGCAGTTTGACACTGGAGTGGTCGTGAGTGTGCCACTGCACTCCTGCGTGGGTGGCAGAGTGAGACTCCAACTCAACTCAACTCAAATAAAATAAAATAAAGACAGACCATTGTTTATGATCCTGCAAGTACAATCATGACCGATCAGCCCAGGACTCTCACGCAGGCCGCCACTGCGTGCCCTGACAAGTGGCTTCAGGAGGGCTGGCAATGGCCTGCGGACAGATGGAGTAGCATGGAGCTTTGTAGCTAGTCATGTTTTATCCACTTGATTCAAAATATGGAAGGATATATGGATAACAGCGTGTAGGGGCGAATCTCTTTTCTTGTGTCTCAGGTTCCAATATGGTTCAACTCGGGCTGGTATATACTCTCGAGGGACTTGAAATCCAGGGAAGGGGTCCTACGTGTTTAATCTTAAGCAAATGACTTCATCTGTCAGCCTGTTTTCTCATGTTTATTTCTTTTATTATTATTTTTTCTTTTTAGAGACAAAGTCTCACTGTGTAGCTCAGGCTGGTCTTAAACTCCCAAACTCCTGGGTTCAAGTAATCTTCCCACCTTGGCCTCCCAAAATGCTGAGATTACAGGTGTGAGCCTCCACATCAGCCTATTTTCTCATCTTTAAAATGGG